ATATATATTGATGATATATCTGCAAAAGGACACAGCCTACTAATTATAAAATAAATCATTGATTATGCATACATACACACAGGCTCATAAACCTTATTTACAGAATAAAATCAAGAAAAGAAAAAGTAAATGCAGTTACAACATAAACTATTTCAACAGATACTTCACAAAATAAGATACTCAGATGACCAGTAAACAAATATAATACTACTCAAACTCTGTCACCAAGGATATGCAAGGTAAAATCACAATGATATATCACCAAACATCTACCAGAATAACCAAACAAAATCTACCAGTATCAAGAATTGGAGATGGCATAGAGGAACTCTAAAAGATGGTGGGAGTATAAATTGGTACTACCACTTTGGAAAATTGCTTAGCAGTACCTATTAGAGGTGAATTTATGTATTTTCTCTAAGTCACCAATTCTATCTATTAGTTTTCAGTTCCTGAATAACAGAGTACCACAAATGTAATGGCTTTAAACAATATCTACTTATTTGTTCACACTTCAGAACTTTCTGCATGGCTTATCCAAGATCTCTGCTCAGTGTCTTAACAGAGAGAAATTAGCCTGTGATATCAGTCAACCAGGCTGTTTATTTTTGGGGCCCACTTTTAGTTCCTAGAGACTTCATGTACTTCCTTGTCACATCAACCTCTCAGGGCCCACACTATATAAATCAAGGTTTCACCTGATTAGGTATGGCCCTCCCAGGATGACCTCCTGATTCGGGACCTTAATAGATCTGCAAAATCTCTTTTCCTATACAGTGTAACTAATCACAGGAGTACTCTTTCATCATATTCACAGTCTCTTCTCATACTCAATAGGGGTCACCGAAGGATAAGGGAGGGTTATTAGGCATCATCCTAGAATTCTTCCTACCACCATCAGTCCTCTGGCTCCCAGAGATCCAATATTTCCCGCATACAAAATAAATTAACCCCATACCACAGTCCCCAAATTTTTAATAGTATTACAGCTTTAGTGCAATTCTGAAATCTCATCTGAATCTTATCATCCACATCAGGCATGGATCAGATTCCAAGGTCTGATCCATCCAGCACAACTCCTGGAGCATTTTTCCTCTCTGGTTTTGGACCAGGGAAAATTTATTTCCCCCTAATATTAAAACAAACAATTGATGGGACAGGTGTAAGATAATAGCGATAAACATTCCAGTTTAATGTGGGAGAAAATCAACAAGAAAAAAAAAAAGGTTAAAAATCTAGCTGATTTGTATTAACAGTCTGCTCAAGGCAATTTAAGCCTTCTCTATTGTATACTTCAGAATACTTTCAGTCTCTGCCCACTATCTGGGCCAAGCCATATTGACAGATTTAGGTGTTTGCAAGTGGCAGCACCCCACATCCAAGCACCAAAATCTAGATGGGTTTTCCATTTGTTTCAAATAAATTTTCACACTCTTACTAGCTTTAGTGTACAGCATGACTGTCTTCCCCTGCTCAGGATCTTACAGGCTGTTGGAGCTGCTGTGTTCCTTTCTGGTGGGCTCGGGGAAAGAAGCCTTCTATACCCACCCATGCTGTCAGCTGAACTCAGTCCCCAGCAGCAGGAGGATCTGAGCCTCTATTCTTGAGCTGGGTGGCAGCCAGGGCAGTATTTTTCTGCTAGAGGCCACCTGTAGTTCCTTGTCACATGACTCCCTCCAAATGTTCGATCAGACCTCAACTATCTCAGCAATAACCTACTCCCTTCAAAGTACTCACTTGATTAGGTCTGACCCACCCATCTCAAAGGCAACTGACTTGTAACCTTACCTACAGCCACAAAAATCCTTTTTTTTTTCATATAAAGTAATAAAACTTGGAAGTGATAGCTCCTCATATTCACATGTTCCACCCACATCCAATGGGAGGAGATTAAACAAGGACAAGAGTCACTGGGGATCTCATAGGATTATGCATATGACATAAATTGTTTTGTGTGCTATAGAGATGCACAAGGATATCATCCAGAAGACATGAATAAGACATGCACAGTAGCATTATTGGACACAGCCTCAAACCAGAAACAACATAAATGTCTATCAATGGTAAATTGAATAAATTGTGGTATATTCATGAAATGGAATATTATACAATAATGAAACCAGACAAATTCCCACATGCCATAAAAATGGACAGATCTCAAAAGCATTTGTATTGAGCAAAAAAGAGTAGAAATGTACATGATTTATAATTCTGTTTGTATAATATATTAAAACAGGCAAAATGAATCAGAATAGTGTAACTTTCAGGGGTGATGGCTAAAGTAGAGATATAAAATAGGTTTCTGGGAGTGCCAATGGTTTTCTATATCTCTCTTTGTGGTTGTTACATGCATGTGTTTGCTTTATAAAATGTCATCAGTGTGTTGGCTCTTATTATTATACACTCTTCTATTTCAATGTTGTACTTCAACAAAAAATGCTAAAAAGAAAAACATCTTATGAAAGGCAAGAATTGACAAAAATATATTTCAGATGCACAATCCTTTATAAACAAGTCTCAAATCCAAAATGCTTTGAAAAATGAATTTTCCTGATTTATTCATCCACAAAACCTGACCTGCACTGACATGAAGCTATTTGTAATTTTTAGATCTTGGAGTAAATATTTATATTCTGGTTTCACTGCAGAAGTATTGTTGTATTTGATTCAGCAGTATTATTGCAGACCTCGCTTTGGATTTTGTGTAATGTATGCTTTGTGAATTCTGAAACATTCAGTCCCAAGAGTTTCAGATGAGATTGTGGCAGTGTAGTAGTGGAGGATTTTAATATAATTGTGTCAGCTGAAAACAGATCGAGCATACAAAAACTAAGAAAGACTGCAAAGAATTTATCAGATTATTTGGATTTTTTTGAGCTCTTCAGGTAGTCATATGAGGAGGACTTCAAAAAAATTCATGGAAAATTCACATTATCTTTTAATTCAGTTTCCAAAAATTTTTGAAGCTCCTGCTTGATGTATTAACTGAAACATTTCCTAGGGGCCAGTGTTGTGGAACAGCAGGAAAAGCAGCCACCTGCAATGCTGGCATCCCATATGAACACTAGTTCAAGTTTCAGCTGCTCCACCTCCAATTCAACTTCCTGCCAATGAGCCTGGGAAGGCAGTGGAGGATGGCCTAAGTGGTTGGGCCCCTCCCACATATGTGGGAGACCCGGATGAAGCTCCCGATGCCTGACTTCAGCTTGGCCTATCCCCTGCCTTTGTGGCCACATGGGGATTGAACCGGAGGATGGATGATCTCGCTTTGTCTCTCTCTCTCTGTAAATCTGCCTTTCAAATAAATAAAATAAATTTTAAAAAATAAATATTTCCTAATATTACACTGTGTTCTCATAACCAGGAAACTACCAGAATGTGGTAGATTTTTATATGCTGTTAAGTTTTATTTAAACTTTATGGATAAAAATAAAATCTATATTAATTAATGAGATAGATCCATATATATATATTTGTGTATTGGTGGCATACTATCTGGAATCAGGGTTTAGACTCCCTTCATTAAATAGATTTGGAAGATTTCTATCTTTGCTCCTAGCTTCTAAATCTTTTTTTATTGGCTTCAGTATTAGCTATTCCTTATATGAACTGAGTGACCATATTCAGAGCTCCCAGTACTTTTATCAGTAATTTGATTCCCGATCCTGGTAGAAGAACAACGTCATTTTCTGAAAAAGGTATGGCTATTGAAAAATATGTACAGAAAAAGGGAGAGAGAAAGACTACCACCGTAAATAATATAGGTGCCGAAGTCATAAGAACTTGGGAAAATGTCCCAGTTCCACCACTTACTGATTATATGACTTGCAGCAAATTAATCTTTCCAGCCTTAGTTTCTTCATGTGGAAAATAACTTCCGTATTCGCACTGTTTTCCTCAAATTTAGCAAAGTGAAATTTTCACATTACCTATGCCAATTAATGTGCAGATCTGCTTGGAGTCAAGACTAAAACATGCATGCTAATTTATACAGAGTCACAATTGACATCAACAATTGAGAGGTACTTTAGATTTAGAAATTGTGTATGTTTGAGCATTGAATCTTCTTGAAATTTGACTTAGTATTTGGACCTATTTTTCTATATAAAAGTTTTACAGATTATTTCCACATAAAATGCATCACCTATTATTTTTCTCAAAATAACACACATACATGATCTTAAAAGTTAAACAGCAACACCAGCTTTTAATGAAACCAAAACTCATTTAATTTTAAATCCACACCTGTCCCCTACTACTGCTCTGGCTGCCTGAGACAACTCCCCCCCCCCCCCCCCCCCCCCCGCCCTTCTGTTTCTCAGGCATTTACTATGATGTTTCTAATTAACAGAGTTAACAGTAATTGTGGCGTATTGCAAAAATGGCCACAAGAGAGACTTCTGACTTCTGGTTTTAGCTGCCTTGCCTAAAAAGCTGGAAATGGTCACTCGCCCCCCCCCCCCCGCCACTTTTCATATCAAGAAAAACAATCAATTTCTTTCCGGAAACAGATGCTTCTAGAGCTACAAACGTACTTACGCTACGACTTGAAAAAGTTCGTGGAACAACGAACTAAAAGAGAACTTTATTTTGGTGCAAAAAAAAAAATTGCAACCCATGCATGTGAGGGTTTTTCAAAACGCTCATGAAAAAAATTGCATACCATGATAAAAAAAAAAAAAACTACGTAGGAATTGCAAACATGTTTTTTGCACCAGATTGAACGCATCTTTTAATTCCACTTTTCCACCAACTTTTCAAAGTAGCTTTCCGAAACAATTAAGCGCTAAATGTGATCAATTACTTGGGGCTGTGTGGGCTAGCATGCGCGTGAGGGGGCTCCTACATATTCGTGGGAATTCCTTCAGGAAAATCATCCCTCACCAAGGCAGTGCGCGGTCATGCGGTGCACGGGAGGTCGGAGACGCCGGCGGGGGCAACTGTGTGCTCCGCACCTGCTGCATAAACTGTTTACCCCCCGGCGAGTGTTGGGGAGGTACCTGATGATGCTGTTTGTGTCCTGCAGGAGTGTGAGGCTGCAGAGTGTTAATTCCAAGTGCAGTTGCTACTTTGTCCTGCACAGCCTGCAGTTGTAATCCAGGATTCGCGCGTTTGTGGAGGCTCAGAACTCCGCTTCAGTCGCGTCGCAGTGGCAGCCCCTTGGTGTGGGACACCAGGCCGGGAACTCGAAGTTGTCCAGCAGCAACTTGGTGGCGCCTGGGCAGCCGAGGTCTCCAAGCTTGCGGAACGCCTCCCGGCACTCCCGCTGAGCGCCCAGGTCAGTTTTATTAGTGGACACAGCGGGTAACCACGAGTTCCGGGCGGTGCGTGTGGCTGTGATTCTTTGGAGCCCGCCCACATGAGCCTGTTTCCCATCAGGGGTGTCCTTTGCGGCCGCGAGCCTCCTGATCCGGGTTTGGACAGTAGGGTGCAGCGTGGGGCTGGAGTCAGTGATCAAGGTGCTGAGCTGTTGGGGGCAGGGAACCAGGGCAGCCAGGATTCCTGGGCTGCGGGTCTCTTTTTCCCTGCCCCGGCTTTCAGCCAGAAAGGCAAATGTGTCTTAGTGGTGGTCCTGCACCTGTTTCAGGTGGGTTTCCAGGGGGCAGGGTAGGGAGGAGGAAGTTTAGTTCCTGTTTTTGTTTTTAGATATTTATATAGTTGAAAGAAACAGTTGTGTGGCACGGAGAGGTCTTCCATCTGCTGGTTCACTCCCCAAATGACCACAATGTTCAGGGCTGAGCCAGGCTGAAGCCAGGAGCTTCTTCCAGGACTTCCCCGCGGGTGCAGGGGCCCAAGGACTTGGGGCATCTTCTGCTTTCTCAGGCCATAGCAGAGAGCTGGATCAGAAGTGGAGCAGCTGAGACTCAAACACCAGCCTGGCAGACTGGCTTAACAGACTGCACCAAAACTGTCCCCAAGATTTGCTATTTGTTGAAAATGATGCTGAGACTCTTCCCTTGATCTTAAAGTGACAGCTTTGTTTTTTTGGCTTTTGTGTGTGTGTGTGTGTGTGTGTGTGTGTGTGTACCATGTTGTTGAACTCTATCTGCACCTCCTTCTCCTAAGAGGTTTTACATTCAGCACACACATCTGCAGATGACCATTGAAGACTTCCTTCCTGGAGTTGGCATCACACAGCCAGCATTTTTCCACACTCATTCTGTTACATACTGCCCCATGACCACAGAAACAGTCCTGTAATTTGTTAAGTTCTCAGTAATCTCATGTGAAAAATAGGAAATAATATGTCATATTTTGAATGCAGTGTGAAGTAAATACAAGAACATTTTTGAAATATGTAATACAGCAGAAAGGAACTGGATTTATTGCATGTGATTTATATGTATATATTTATACTTTCTAAATTAATTTTCCAATAATTTCATGAGCTTAATTTTTTGTTGGCTTTATTTTAATTTTCATTTTTGCCAAGATTCAGGAACTATTCTGGATGCTGCATGGGTAAAAACTCATCCATATTTGACAAGTCAACCTAAAGTTTAGGTTACCATTCTTCTTTTTATCACATTTTTAAAATTTTTTAAGTTAATATTTTTGAGATACCATATTTTTAATTTACATTATAATCAAATCCTTAATGGCTCTACTAAACAGTTTAACAATTAAAAATAAAAAGACCATAGTCCAGCAGGAGAATAGGCAAGGGCTATTAACAATAAAAATTTTAATCTAGCAATTTCAGTCTGGCTTTTAAATTTAGGTCTTTGGTCCATCATCCATATGATGAGAGGTAAGGAACTAATTTCATTCTTCATTTATATGTCCAGTTTTTCCAGCACCATTTAAACACTCTCCTTTCTCCATTGTATGTTCTGGAGATTTTTGTCAAAAGTCAGTTGGCTGTATGTATCTGAATTAAATTCTGGGCTCTCTATTCTGTTTAATTTGTTTTTGTGCCAGCTTTTGTGCCAATACCTTGCTGTTTTAATTATGATAGCTTTGTGCTATGCTTTGAAATCAGGTATTGTGATGCCCCCAGCTTGATTTTTTTCCCCCCCTCAGAACCACTTTGGCTATTCAGAATAGTTTTTTGTGATCCCATATGAATTTTTGGATTTTTTTCTAATTCTATAAAGGATAGCACTTTAAGAAGATTTACTTACTTGAAAGGCAGATTATAGAGAGGGAGAGACAGAGAAAGAGATCTTCCATCCACAGATATACTCTCCAAATGGCCACATCAACTGGGGCCGGGCCAGGCTGGGGCCAAGATGAAGCCAGGAGCCAGGAGCTTCTTCCAGGTCTCTCATGTGGGTGCAGGAGCCCAAGCACTTGGGCCATCTTCCACTGCCATTAGCAGGGAGCTGGATAGGCAACCATATGGCATGCTGTTGCTGCAGTCTTCTATTTAACCCTCTGTACCATAGTGCTGGCCCTATCATTGGTATTTTGATAGGGAATGAACTGAATCTGTAGATTGCTTTAGATAGTATAGATATTTGAATATTAATTCCTCCAATCCATTAGCAAGGAATAACTTTCTATTTTTTGTGTCCTTGATGATTTCTTTCCTCAATGTTTTACAAATTTCATTGTAGAGATCTTTCACTTCTTCGGTTAAATTTATTCCTAAACATTTGATGTGTGTGTGTGTGTGTGTGTGTGTGGCTATTGTGAATGGGATTCCTTTCTTAGCAAGTTCATTATTGGTGTTTAAAAAGGCTACTGTTTTTGTATGTTGATTTTGTATTCTGTGATTTGACTGAATTGGTTTATCAGGTCTAACAGCTTTTTCGTGAAGTGTTCAGAGTTTTCCACGTACAATATTGTGTCATCTGCAAACAAGAATATTTTGACTTCCTCCTTTCCAATTTGATGCTCTTAATTTCTTTCTCCTCCCTAATTGCACTTGCTAGTACTTACAATATTATATCAAATAAGAGTGGTGAAATGAACATCCTTGTCTTGTTCCAGATCTGAGTGGGAATGCTTTCAGCTTTTCCCCTTTCAGTCTGATATTGGCTGAGATATATTCCTTCTATACCTAATTTGTGGAAGATTTTATCATGAGGGGATATTGAATCTTATCAAATGCTTTCTCCATGTCTGTTGTGATGACCCTATGGCTTATGTTCTTCATTCTGTTGATGTTATTTATGACGTTTATTGATTTGTGAATGTTGAACTACCCTTGCATCCCTGGGATAAATCCCACTTGATAATGATGTGTGATCTTTTTAAATGTGGTTTTTATATTCAGTTTGCTATCATTTTGCTGAAAATTTTTTGCAACTATGTTCATAAGGCTATTGGTATATAGTTTTCTTCTTGTGTCTTCGTTCAGTTTTGGTATCACAGTGATGCTGGCATCATCAAAATATTTTTACAGACTTCCATCCTGTTCAGTATTTTGGAATAGTTTGAAAAGTATTGGAGTTAGTTCCTCTTTAAATGTTTTGTAGAATTCAGTAATAGTGAAGCCATCAGGTCTTGTACTTTTCTTTGAAGGGATTCTTTTAATTACTGCTTTCACAACTGCTTACTGTTTATTATGGTATGTTTAGATTTTCTGTATTTTATTGATTTAATCTTGGTAGGTTATGTGTATCTAGGAATTTATCCATTTATTAGAAATTTCCAATTTGTTAGCATATAGGTGTTCATAGTAGTTTCTTGTGATCCCTTTTGTTTCGACAGTGATTCATTCTTCATCCTAATTTTATTTATTTGAGTGTTTTTTTTCCTTTGTAATGCTAAATGTTTGTCTATTTTGTGTATCTTCTCAAGTAGTGTTTTTGGTTGACCTTTTGCATTTTTTACTTTCAATTTCATTTATTTTCTGATCCTCATAATTTCTTGCCTCCTGCTGATTTGAGGCTAGGTTTGTTCTTGTTTTTCTGAGTCTTTGAGATGCATTACTAGATAATTTATTTACGATCTTTTTTAATGTAAGCATTTATTGCTATAAACCTTCTACTTAATACCGCTTTTACTGTATGTCACAGATTTTGATATGCTGGGTTTTTACTTTCATTTGTTTCAAGAAATATTTTTATTTCATTTTTAATTTCTTCAATGACATTTTTCATTCAGTAGCATCTTTTAATTTCCATTTATTAGGGCTGGCACAGTGGCACAGTAGGTTAAATCCTCTGCCTGCAGTGCCAGCATCCCATATGGGTGCCAATTAGAGTTCTGGCTGATCCTCTTACGATCCAGCTCTCTGCTGTGGCCTGGGAAAGCAGTAGAGGATGGCCCAAGTGCTTGGGCCCCAGCACCCACGTGGGAGACCCAGAGGAATCTCCTGGCTCCTGGCTTCAGATCAGCGCAGCTCCACCATTGCAGGCATTTGGGGAGCCAGCGGATGGAAGACCTCTCTATTTTTCCCTCACTGTCTGTGACTACCTCTCAAATAAATCAAATCTTTAAAAAATAAAAATTTCCATTTATTTATGAGTATTCTGTTGTTCTCCTTGTTTTCTAGTTTTATCTTTTGCATTCTGAGAAGATACATGACATGATTTCAATGTTTTTTAATTGACTGAGGCTTGATTCGTGGCCAAATACATGGTCTGTGCTAGAAAATGTTCCTTGTGTTGGTGAAGATGTGTATTCTGTAGCTGTTGGTTAAAATGCTCTGTAAAAGTTTGCTAGGTCCATTAACTCAATATTATGGTTTAAATCTGAAGTATCCTTGTTGATTTTCTGTCTGGATGATCTGTCCACTAATGACATTGGGGTGCTGAACTCCCCCATTATTATTGTATTGGAGTCTATCTCTCTCTTCAGGTCTAATAGCATTTGCTGTATATATCTGGGTATTTTGTATTACATGTGTATATATTTATGATTATTATATCTACTTACTGAATGGATGCTTTTATCTATATAATATCGTTATCTTTTTATAGTTTTTGATTTAACATCTGTCTGATATGAGTATAGCTCTTCCTGCTCACTTTTGGTTTCCATTTGGCTGGTATATCTTTTTCCAGACCTTCATTTTCTTTTTTTTTTTTTTTTTTTGACAGGCAGAGTGGACAGTGAGAGAGAGAGACAGAGAGAAAGGTCTTCCTTTTGCCGGTGGTTCACCCTCCAATGGCCGCCGCGGCCGGCGCGCTGCGGCCAGCGCACCGCGCTGATCCGATGGCAGGAGCCAGGAGCCAGGTGCTTTTCCTGGTCTCCCATGGGGTGCAGGGCCCAAGCACCTGGGCCATCCTCCACTGCTCTCCCTGGCCACAGCAGAGGGCTGGCCTGGAAGAGGGGCAACCGGCACAGAATCCGGCGCCCCGACCGGGACTAGAACCTGGTGTGCCGGCGCCGCTAGGCGGAGGATTAGCCTAGTGAGCCGCGGCGCCGGCCCCAGACCTTCATTTTCAGTCTATGTGTTTATTTACGTATGAAGTGAGTTTCTTAGACAACATATAGTTAGGTCTTGTTTCATTTTTAAAAAATGCAAAGGCCGGCACAGTGGCACAGTGGGTAAGGCCACTGCCTCCAGTGCCGGCATCCCATATTGGGCACCGATTGATAGATAGTAAATAACCCCTGTCATTTTGTTGACTAGTTACTGATTGTGTCTGCTCTGTTAGTGAATTTGGTACTGTCACATGTTCTCATGGTATTTACTTCTAATATAGGACTCCCTTCAGAATTTCCTGTAAGGCTGATCCAGTGATGATGAATTCTCTCAGTTTTTGCTTGTCTGGGAAATGTTTTATTTCTCCTTCACTTCTAAAAGATAGCTTCTCTGGCTATAACATTCTCAGTTGGAAGGTGTTTTTTTTTTTTTTTTTAATTTCAAGACCTTGAATATATTATCCACAATTTTCTGGTCTGCAGGGTTTTTCTGTTGAGAAGTCTGGTGTTAATTTAATGGGTTTTCCTTTATATCTAACTTGACTCTTTTCTCCTACTGTTTTTAGCATTCTCACCTTGTCTTTAACTTTTGATAATTTGACTATAATATGCCTTGGAGAAGATCTTTTTTGGGTGAGTCTATTTGGGGCCCTTTGAGCTTCCTGTATCGTGATATCCAGATCTCTTTCAGGACTTGGGAATGTTTCAACTATTATTCCATTTAGGAAGTTCTCAATACCTGTTCATCCTTCTCTTTTCTTTCAGAAGTCCCTATAATATGAACATTTGCTTTCTTCATAGTATCTCATATTTTGCATAGAGTTTCTTCATCCTTTTTAATTATTTTCTCTTTATTTTTCTCTGACTGGGTTATTTCAAGAAATTTTCCCTCCAGATCAAAATTCCTTTCCTCTGCTTGGTCTGTTCTTCTGTTAACCCTCTAAATTGCATTTTTTTTATTTCATTACCTGAAGTTTTCAGGTACAAAATTTCCTTTGGTTCTTTTTTTTTTTTTTTAAGAATTATTTTATTTATTTGAAAGTCAGAGTTACACAGAGAGAGAAGGAGAGGCAGAGAGAGAGAGAGAGAGAAGTCTTCTATTCTGCTGGTTCACTCCCCAAA